GCCTGGCACGGAGATGGGGACCTCCCAGAGCACCAGCAGGACAAGGCTAATCAGCACGTGAAAAATTAGGAATTCAAGAACTCCATCTGCAGCAGAGCCTGAGAAACCCCACGGCATAAGGACCTGCCGAGCACCAGGAGTAACAAACAGGGATTACAAACGCATTAATGTTTAAAACATGACCTTTTACAGCAGCCCCCGTGACACCCCTGAAGTGCCGGGCTCCGGACGAGACACGTCCTGGCTCCCACCCCCTCCTTCCTGCCCCCAAGCGTGGCTGGGGCCGTTGTCACCTCAATCAGGTGGGGGAAGAGTCCTGCACATGGCGAGGTGACGTGTCTGGCTGGCATTTACCACCCAAAGGTGACACCGAACCCCCCACGCTGTTGGTGAGAGGCAGCAGGGACCCATTCTCAGGGAAGAGCTCAGACAAATTCAAGACATCTTTTCTCTAGCTCAGGGAAACCCCTGTTCCTCTAAGATAAAGTCACGGACTGGTTTGGGTTGGAAGGGACCTTAAAGCCCCCCAAGTGTCACCCCCTGCCCTGGGCAGGGACACCTCCCACCAGCCCAGGTTGCTCCAAGCCCCCTCCAACCTGCCCTTGAACCCCTCCAGGGATGGGGCAGCCACAGCTTCTCTGGCCAACCTGGGCCAGGCTCTCACCACCCTCACACCAAACAAGTTCTTCCCCAATCTCAGCTCCATCTGCCCTCTTTAAAACCGCCCCCCCCTCATCCCACCCCTACGTGTCCCACAAACTCGGCCTCCGAAATGTCACGCCCACAAAATCCGAATTCATTGACATTTGGCAGCCACAGGACAAACACCTCCCCCTCCACTGAGCACCCCCACCCTGAGGAGACACCGGGGCATCCCCACCTCCGGCAGCGTCTCTGCCACCCAACACGCTCTGCAACACTTTTGCCCGTGGCCAAACCTGCCCAGTTTTCCCCAGCTTTTGGGGAAGACAAGCTGGAAAGAGAAAAATTGCCTCCTTTTGCTTTCAGCCTGGGAAGAGCCAGCACATTTGAGGTAGAACAGTACATTTTCCTGCTGCGGATCACCTCATTTTGGGACGCAGCGGTTTCCTTCTGGCTTCCTCCTCAAAAAACCACACTGGGAATAGTGGAAAAATCCCCCACCCTACGATGTGTCAGAGAACTCTGTGAGTTATTGCTTTTCCCACCCCTGGTACTCACTGCCCTCCAGTCTCTGCACAGAAAAAAAACCAAAACCTTTCCCTTCCCTGGGGAAAGCTCCGAGGCTGATTTTTTTATAGACCTGTAATTCATCAACCCCCTCCTGGGAAAAGGCTGCCCTTTTATCCCCCAGTTGCCCTCAAATCCCCCCACCTGGAGCCGCGCTAAGGGACAAGCAGTTGTTTACACAGTGCAGAAATGTACACACGAGTGGCTGCAAACATATATGGAAAGGACAAGAAATAAGATGAAAATCGAGATTAAACCTGAAAATAGGAGGAAAAAGCTGATGTATGCTCTTTATCCGGGTGATTTGCAGCAAACCTGGTGACAAGCCAGGCTGTCCCTCTGCTGGGGTGGCTTCAGGGGGGGAAGCACCAAGGAGGAAAAAGGATCCTGAGACCCAAACAGAGGGCTCTGGAGCAACTGGGAGGAAAACACAACACTCTGGGGCAAACTGGAGGGCAAGTGGGGGTTCCTGATGCCACCAGCAGGTAAATGGTGGTGGTGGGGTGTTTCTGGTTTGACTGAAGGAGTGGGGGCCCGGGGGGGGAACCAAAAGCTGAAGGAGGGGCTGCACTGCACACCCAGAGGGATCCCACAGGGTGACAAGACGCCAGCCAGAGGGATGTGGGGGGCACTGGAGGGTAAATGGGGCAGCTCTATTTTCTCCATGCACCCTCAGATCACCCCCCATGCTCTCCCCACCTCCGTTCCTCTTTCCCCTCTTCTTTGGCACAACGATGGGCACCCCCATCCCACAGCCCTCTGAAAACACCCATGGTCTTACAGGGGTTTTGAAGAGCAATTCCAGGAGTTCTCAAAAAAAAAAAAAAAAAAAAAAAAGGAAAATATAGCATCTATATATAGAGAGAGATCCCAGCAGAACAGAAGCCAGAAGCAGCACCACCACTCCCTCTGACGCCACACGGGGCTGGGACTTGCCGTTGACTTTTTCATACTAATTTCTTGCCTCCTCTGCCATCGTGCGGCCAGTGAAGGGAGGAAGGAAGGACGAGAAGCCAAGGGAGATGGATCAGTCACTGCTCCTGACGTTTATTCCACCCCTGAAGGGTAAATACAGACTGATTTCCAAGCTCATCATTGCCTGAAATAGAGATTTTTGTTAAGCTGACCCCTTTATAAATCATGTGTTTGAAGACGCGATTTCTTACTTTTGGAAAACATCTTAAACACGTACATGGGCTCCCCAGCACGGTGGGGAGGGGAAGGAAACAGTTCCATTATTGGCTAAAGAATCGGAAAAAAACAGGCTGCTTGTGAAGAACTGAGCCCCCTTGGGTCAGTTCCATTATTGGCTAAAGAATCGAAAAAAAAAGCTGCTTGTGAAGAACTGAGCCCCCTTGGGTGGGGGGAGAGGGGGGCACAGGGCTACACACAGCTCTCCCCACCCCACACCTTATCGTCGGGCCGGGAGGGGGCTGAGTTCATTTCAATAATATCTCTGAGGAAACGTGGTTCTTCTACATTCATGGTGAACATTTCCCCCCAAACGGATGACACGGTCACCCGGAGGAGTGTGTTGGCTCGGAGTTGGCTCAGAAGAGAAGGTGGTGTCTGAAGACCACAGCCCTTGGCAGAAAGGCACCTACGTCACGACAGTCGGGTATCGATACACTTTGGTGGGGTCTCCCTTGGGTTGGCCATAGTCCCACACGTCCCAGCTCAGGGCAGTGGCACGTTCTCACCTTCCAGCTGATGGAGAGGAAGGTCGCCTTCCTCCAGGGCAGGTAAAGCCCATCTCACTGACTAAGGGAAGGTTTCCACATGACCCAAGCACTTTCCCTCATGGCCTGAGGGCACAGGGAGGCAAAAAGAGCTCAGGAAACCCTTAATACCCTCAAATAATTTGAAAAAGGGCTCCCCTGCCCAAGGGTTTCAAATACTGGTCAAAGAATGAATGAACGAACACAAAGGTTGTTTTTTGTCACCTGCTTTTCCACCATGCTCCAGGCCACAGCTTCACCCAGCAGCACAGGCTGAAACCAGCCCTGGAGGATCTGAGCAGGTCTGGGGGAGGGTTCACTACTCCAACATGATCAACAAAGATTCCCCCCTAAGCTGTGCCGGGTAACGGGCACCTCAGGGGAAGCTATGAATGAAATGCCTGCTATGGACAGTGACAGGATGTGTGCTGCAGGGTGCCCAGGGGATCATGACAAGTCTGGTATTGATACACTTTGGTGGGTTCTCCCTTGGGTTGGCCATAGTCCCACATGTCCCAGCTCAGGGCAGCGGCACGTTCTCACCTTCCAGCTGATGGAGAGGAAGGTCACCTTCCTCCAGGGCAGGTAAAGCCCATCTCAGTGGCTAAGGGAAGGTTTCCACATGACCCAAGCACTTTCCCTCATGGCCTGAGGGCACAGGGAGGCAAAAAGAGCTCAGGAAACCCTTAATAACCTCAAATAATTTGAAAGAGGGCTCCCCTGCCCAAGGGTTTCAAATACTGGTCAGAGAATGAATGAACGAACACAAAGGTTGTTTTTTGTCACCTGCTTTTCCACCATGCTCCAGGCCACAGCTTCACCCAGCAGCACGGGCTGAAACCAGCCCTGGAGCATCTGAGCAGGTCTGGGGGAGGGTTCACTACTCCAACATGATCAACAAAGATTCCCCCCTAAGCTGTGCCGGGTAACGGGCACCTCAGGGGAAGCTATGAATGAAATGCCTGCTATGGACAGTGACAGGATGTGTGCTGCAGGGTGCCCAGGGGATGCCCAGCCTCAGTTCTCAGGCCCCAGGAGAGGAACCCAGCAGAAGACAGCTCACCCCACACTTGTGTTACCGGCCACCACTTCTGGCCTTTCACCTCCTCTGACCAACAGCCTCCTGCCAAAGCCTTCCCTCAGACACCCCTCTCAGGGGGAAACCCCACGAGGGAGAGCAGCAGGCACCTACGACCCCGTGAAGAGAAGCTTTCAGGAGTGTCTCTCAGCACTGGGATCTATATATTCAGGATTTAGGTTAAACAAGGTTTAGCACCTTGACACGAGAGCATCCTGCTTGAGGGCAGCAAGTTTAGCACCTTGACACGAGAGCATCCTGCTTGCACGGGGAAGCCAGGAGTGAAAGGGACCAGCCCTGCTTTAAAGTCTGGTCAGAGGAGTGGACACCCCCAAAGATAGGGCAGAATGAAAAACAAACATCCTAAAATCCCCTCCTGGCTCTAAAATTCCAACTTTTCCAATAACGACAGGATCTGCTTTTGTTCCCTACCCTGTGGCCCTTCAACCTGCCAGACCCCAGTCTGCGCTGCATCCACCAGCAGCTGGAAGGCACCTCTGTGTGTGTGACCTTTACAGGCAGGAGAACGTGCTGGCCCAGTCTGCGCCGCAGCCACCAGCAGCTGGAAGGCACCTCTGTGCGTGTGACCTTTACAGGCAGGAGAACGTGCTGGGGAAAACAGCCTCACGGAGCAGCCAGTTAAAGATGCCCCAACACAGATTCCTTCTTCAGAAAAAGAGGAAAGAGCAGGCAGAGAAGGAAATTTGTCAGCAAATATTGTGGCTGCTGTGCCTTTGCCCTCGATACAAACCCCGTGCAAACGGCATTATGTTACTGGAAGTCAAAGAAACTCCTGAAATACATCCCTCATCTGACTGTCATCTCCTTCCCAACACACAGATCTTGCTACCTCCCCCTTCCCTCCTAACCCAAACCTTTCAGAAACACCCTAGCTGTAGCCAGGTTCTCCTCCCAGGGCACCCCTCAGGCAGCACAGCTCCTGTCAGTGACCGTTACAGGGGCACATGGTATGTTTAAGAAAGAATTCACTGAAATACACCAACAGCCCTCACGCTGAGTAGTGGTATTTTCATCAAATAGGCACCAGAGATTTGCGTTTTCTCTACAAGGGTTAAAGTCCAGCCTGAGGTGAGACAAGACCCCAGAGATTTCCATTCTGCTCTGCTAAAAACACCCCACCTAGACCGGCCAGCTGACAGACAGGCTGAACAACAGGGAAAACCACAAATATTTCAAATCCTGAAGGCACTTGATTGGAGGAACACTTCAGTAGGTGCTGGGAGAACAGTCCCATGGTGGGATTAACCCTGACCCAGCAGAGCTGGGACACACAGACTGGAAAGACCAGGCTGGATGCAGGGACAGCAAGAGCTGGCCACGCTCGAAGGCAGAACATGGTCCCCAAAAGCTCCCGTAACCTTTGGTTTCCACCGAGAACGGCTTGAAAAGGGTGGAGGTGTCTGAGGTCTGTGTGACACCCCCCCACGGCAGGGCTGGAGGTCCCTGGGGTGGTGGGGGCTAAGCCTGCAGTCCCAGCAAGCGCGCCGTGTTGAGCACGTCGTCTCTCGTCAGGTAGCAGCCGCAGAGCTGGCGGTACCCCGTGAAGGCCTCCCTCCCGTGCAGGACACGCCAGTTATCGATGAAGAGTGCCTGCAGGGCAAGAGGAAGGTGTCAGAAGATCAACCACTGCAGGCAGGGCCAGGAGCCTCCGAGAGGACAGGTCCTGGGGCTGGAGATCCCTCCAGACTGGAAGGGCATGGCCCCTCCTGTTCACCACCACCAGAGACAGCACGTGAGACCACAGCCAGATGTTCTGTGCAATCAGCACAGCTGTTTCACCCAAAGCCAGCGGTTCTGCTCAGCTGCTTTAACCACAAGGTCAGACACACCAGCCAGTGCAGCACAGAAATAGCTCTGGGCTCTTTCTTTGCTTTTCTCCTGGAGAGGCTGGGCAATAGATGGGCAGAAACTGGCCACCTTCAGCCTCCAGGGTGTCACTTTTCCCCCAGGGAACAGAGAGGTGTAGGGGCTCCATCCCATATGACCATCTTCCCTGCTGGACCCTTTCATTTTTGGGGCTCATTTGGGGCATTTCACTTGGGCTCAGGCTGAATCTAGACCCTGTAGGAACAAAATCCCTTCCAGTGGGCACCGCTGAAGGAAGTGGCCACACACGTAATATCTTCAACTCTACACGGGTGGCTCTAGCTCTTCAAGCTCCCCCAAAGCTGCACCCAGCAGCAACTTTCAAATCCTGGGCAGAGCTTTTTCCTTCCAGTACCAAGGTGTGCTACGGCACCTCAGCCGTTTCTGGGAGAGTGAAGAGAGTGTCGGCCTCCTTCATCCACTGGCAATGGAAAAGCTCAAAAATAACCTCTCAACAGATGGAAATTCAGCTCCCCACACCTTCATATTTCCATCAAAATAGAGTTTTCTTCTGGAAAAAGTTAAATGTTCCCTTCCCAACCTCTCTACTTCCAAGGGTTGTTACTGGAGACTGGAAAGATCTTCCTCCTCTTCCTCAGGACTAACTTTTCTCTGAGCCAAGTTTGAATTAAACATTTCTGCCTTATCTGGAAGTTCATATTCTTTCAGGACAGTAGGAACACACCCACCAGATACCAGTACTGTAACACAGGGCACCTTAGAACAGCCATAAAGAGGAAAAGTGCAGCACACGGAGCTTGCCTGAAGAATTTACGGCAACTGGCCTTGGCATCTGAAGGAGCACCCTGTCCCCCTCCCTGAACCGAACACACAGGAGCCTCCCAGCTCCAAGTCCCACCTTGCCTGGCTTCAGCTTGACCCAGAGCTCATTTTCTGGTCTCCTGAGCTCGGCGGTGAGCGTGCGGTGCGCGGCGTACCAGCGATGCACCACGTCGTACGGCACCGTGTTGATGACAGCCCGATCGTAGTTATTGTACCTGAAAGAAAAGCTGAGGTAAGAGACCCCCCCGCACAGCTCCTGCAGCACAGCCAGGTATTGCCAGAGGGATTCCCATAGGATTAGTCAGTATTTAAGGGAGGCGACAGAGATGTCTATGGAGGTTACACTGCAAGTGTGTAGTCTCCTGAAAGTCCTCCAACACTGGGAGGAAGGAGGAGTTTACTGTCAAGTGTAAAACTCTTGCTGGTTTTCCATGGCAGGACATGCCACAGCAACAGGCAAGACCCAGGGTTGTGCAGAAAAGTGGGGAAAAAGACCCCAAAAGTAGGAGGTTGGACAGCCTCCTGCACCAGGGCAAGCTGGAGTTTCAGAAAGCAACCCAAATTTCCTTTGGAAGGGGACCAGCCTGCGCTCTCCCCGTTTCCTCTGTGCAAGGCTGGTTTCTAGGGGCTCCTCCAGGGAAGGGCTGAATTCTCCTGGCTCTCAAACGAAGGGAGATGAGGGCACGGAGCTGATGGGAGGATGAAGGGAGTGAAAAAATCAAAGCTCAGCACTGACACCCATCTTTGTATCGGTGGTTCTGACACTTCCGATAAAGGAAGCGCAGGGCGTTTACTGTGGTTTCACCCCTGCCCCTCAGACATACATTGGTTTTTAGTTTAAAATATCTTCTGGAAAACCACTACCGTCTGCCACAATGCCCTCTCCTCCCCCCTGAGAGGAGACCTCAGGTTGATGTTACCTGATCAGATAGAGCTCGTTGTTCCAGGGGTAGACATTGAGGACGGGCCCAACTCCGATCATGTGGTTGTGACAGTCGCCCACGTTCTCAACGTACTCGTGCTTCAGGGGCACTTTGCTGAGCAGCTCAAACTGCTCGGGGGCCTGTCGCAGGACCTGCTCTGCTGCATAGAAACCATCCACCAGCAGCGTCCGCCCGCCCGTGCCCTCGTGCTTCAGGCAGTGGAACACCTGGATGCTGCACAAGCGACAGAAACAAGAATTAAGGTACAGAGCACAAGAGAAAAATCCTTGGCTGCCCATCCCGTGGACAGACGGCATCGCCCACGGAGCCAGGCAGAGGTAGATGGATGCACCACCCTTCCCGCTTTATGAAGGCTTCCCAAGGAATGGAGACAGACCAGCAAGAAATGGCCGTACCTTCCACGTCTTCAGGCCCAGCCTCACACATTTTGCTTTTTTAGAAGGCAACTAACTGCCTGCACCGTCTCCCAACTCAAGTGACACGAGTCTGGGAGGCTTCAGGGGGTGTAGGATCAGGCCTGCATCATCCAAAGTCCATCCAGGCAATAAAACACAGAGGTTCAAAAGCACAAAACTAACTTCCCTAGAACATTTCAGAACAAGAGGACAGTTAAAGAAATGCTGGTTGTGCTGTTGAGGTCTCCAGGAACTATAAGGGTGACTCTTGTTCATTGGTGTCCCACAAGAGAGGTCCCTCAAGGCCCTTAAAAACCCTCTGGAAAGCTGGGAGGAGAGGAGTCCCCAGTGAGCAGCTCACCCACAGGGACATCCCCTCTCCGCTGGGAACCCAACCATCTCTGCTTTTGTCCTTCTACTCCTTCTCTGACATCATCCAAAGTCCATCCAGGCAATAAAACACAGAGGTTCAAAAGCACAAAACTAACTTCCCTAGAACATTTCAGAACAAGAGGACAGTTAAAGAAATGCTGGTTGTGCTGTTGAGGTCTCCAGGAACTATAAGGGTGACTCTTGTTCATTGATGTCCCACAAGAGAGGTCCCTCAAGGCCCTTAAAAACCCTCTGGAAAGCTGGGAGGAGACGAGTCCCCAGTGAGCAGCTCACCTACAGGGACATCCCTGCTCCAGTGGGAAGCCAACCATCTCTGCTTTTGTCCTTCTACTCCTTCTCTGAAGCTTCCCTTTCCCTTCACCCAAGCAAGGAGGCATTGCACTGTTAGGAACAAACACTCAGGAGCTGCCCCCTAGAACATTTCAGAACAAGAGGACAGTTAAAGAAATGCTGGTTGTGCTGTTGAGGTCTCCAGGAACTATAAGGGTGACTCTTGTTCATTGATGTCCCACAAGAGAGGTCCCTCAAGGCCCTTAAAAACCCTCTGGAAAGCTGGGAGGAGACGAGTCCCCAGTGAGCAGCTCACCTACAGGGACATCCCTGCTCCAGTGGGAAGCCAACCATCTCTGCTTTTGTCCTTCTACTCCTTCTCTGAAGCTTCCCTTTCCCTTCACCCAAGCAAGGAGGCATTGCACTGTTAGGAACAAACACTCAGGAGCTGCCCTGAGCCACCTACTCCCAATTTTCACAGCTGCCAACTTCACTCGTTAGAGAATTAATTGTGACCCCTCTGGGAAAGCCTTTACCTTCTGATCTCCCTTTGGGGCCTCTTGACCCAGTCCCAGGGCACAGGATGTGGCAGGAGCTCCCTGCTCCACTCTCACCTTTTCACCTGGGTGCTCCAAATACTCCTTTTACCCACAACAGTTCCAGGAGAATTTTACAAAGTCACTCCACCAGCACTGCAGCAAAGGAGTGCCTGTGGGACCTCCACACCTCAAAGGCAAAACCCTTCTCCAGCAGCTCAGGGCACTGAGAAACCCCCTTCTGAGGGCAGGCCCTTTGGCACCTGACAAGTGAGAATTTTGCAGCCTTTCCCACAGCTTGGGGAGGACCTGACGAGTGAGATAATTTTGCAGCCTTTCCCACAGCTTGGGGAGCTTCTATCCTCTAGTCTTTGTAATAATTTAACTTGAGACTTGCTGGATTTGGCTGATTTCAGTGGGGGAAAGCAGACATTCAAACAAACACATCTTTCTCAAAAAACCCCCCATTTCATCTAGAAGCAGGTCGAGACTTGCTGGATTTGGCCGATTTCAGTGGGGGAAAGCAGACACTCAAACGAACACATCTTTCTTGAAAAACCCCCCATTTCATCTAGAAGCAGGTCAAAGACTGCTTCAGGAGATCTGGAAGTGAGTCTGAAACAGCCTGGGAAGAAGGGATTTCTGGCAGAGGTGGGGGCTCAGGAAAGCCAGAAATTCATGTTCTTCCTGTACAACTAGGATTTTGCAGAACTGCAAGCACTAATACTTCACCCCACTAATTTACTGTCACTGCTTGATATACTTCAGTTGGCTGCAGATGAGAATACACCTACCTGAAGGGAACCCTTCCAAGTGGCAAAGAAAGGTATAAAAATAGCTAAGGAGCACTACAGTTCTGGCACCCAGCAGCTTAATCAAAGCTCTTTTGCAGGCTGAAGTTCTGATTACCAATTGCTTTTTAAATTTGGTTTTGGGAGCTCCTCAAACAACTCAGCCAAGCAGGTAACACTGTGCAGGTCATGAAAGCACAGGGGTTCACTGAAAAGATGGAAACCAAGGAGATCTGCCCCAAAGCATGTGTTTTACACACAAACTTCTAGCCCCACAGAGCACAATAAAACCCCTTCACTTCGCTCCTGCCTCCGAACTGCTTCAGAACAACCACCACCACCCAAAAGCTTCCTGCCTGCTTGGGCACAGAGGACAGTGCTCAGACCTTCCCTGGTCTGAAGGGTTGCTCTGAAATCCACGTTGATCCCACCAGACCTCCCCCTCAGTCCTCCCCTGCTCTCCCAGCTCTGCACCACACGCCTTTCCCATTAAGATGTTTAGCAAGTCAACTCAGGAGGAGCTGATCCTGCCCCAGGGCAGGAGGGGAGGGCTGGATGACTCCTTTGTAGCCCTAGTTCTGTAGCAGATCACAGTATTTCCATGGGCTCCCCCCAAGGCTGTTTCCCCACAATCCCCCTCTTGACTGAGATGAAAGTGGACAAAAAAAAAAGAAGCTAGAAATTAAGCCTAAATCTCTTGCACTTCGCTGTGAACCATGACCACGGCTGCTGCCTGCCTTTCTCCAGCTGTGTATGAAACTCACAGCCCAGAGGCTATAGCAGTTTGCAAACCAGCATTTGGGAAACAAGCTACAGACTGCTTTTAAAAGCACATACAGGTGTCAAGTTCGAAGGGCTGGGGGAAGCCTGGTTTTTGAGTACCTTCAGGGCTGCACCCTGCGCCAAAACACAAACCCAGGCTGTTGGAACCACAGCAGAGGGAGTGCACAGAGAATACGTGAGCACAGCAGGTACCTCTGATGGCTGGGGAGGGCAGACAGTGACCCCAGGCTGTGCTGGGGCTGGTCTCCCTCCTCCCCTGGAGGCCACCGGTAACAGGGCTCAGCCAGCCAGAGAGATGCTGGCTCCAGGTCAGAAGGACTGAGTCAAAGCAAACTTTTGCAGCAGCTTTGTCCAAGAGTTGGTGAGGGACCCTTGGTGCAGGAGGAGCTAAGCCTTGCAACATCCACAGCTTCTCTGGGCAACCTGGGCCAGGCTCTCACCACCCTCACACCAAACAAGTTCTTCCCCACATCTCAGCTCCATCTCCCCTCTTTCAGTTTAAAACCATTTCCCCTTGTCCCATGGCTCCCCTCCCTGATCCCGAGTCCTCCCCATCTCTCCTGGAGCCCCTTGAGGGACTGGAAGGGGCTCCAAGGTCTCCCCGGAGCCTTCTCTCTCCAGGTTGAACCCCCCAACTCTCTCAGCCCCCCCTCCCAGGAGAGGGGCTCCAGCCCTCCCAGCATCTCCGAGGCCTCCTCTGGTCCCTCTCCAACATCTCCATGTCCTTCTGAAGTTAGTGGCCCCAGAGCTGGAGGCAGCACTGGGGGTGTCCCCCCAGAGCAGAGGGGCAGAATCCCCCCCTCACCCTGCTGGCCATGCTGCAGGGGATGCAGCCCAGGGTGTGGGGGCTTTCTGGGCTATGAGTGCACATGTTGAGCTTCTCATCCACCAACACCCAAGTCCTTCTCTCCATGAAGCTGTGCTGCCAGAAACAGCATCACTGTGAATGGCTCTGTGTCTGTGAAGCAGCAGAAGCCCTTACCCACAGGGCTCCTGGAAGTAGGTGGTGTCTGTGTGACGATCCAGAGCCAGCTTGGTGTAGGCTGTGTCTCCCCGGGAGAAATCGGAGGTGAAGTACCACATTCTGCCATAAATGGTCTCCCTGCAAGAGAGGAGAGCAATCACCATGGAGCACTGTGGGGGTCAGCAGGGTGGTAAAACAGATCCACTCTATATACTGAGTAAATTAATAAAGCAGAACAACTTAACAAAATTCACATTGTCCAGAGATGGGGCTTCTAATGCTTCCTGTAGTACTCTGTTCCTCTCTTTCCTCCCCAAAAGACTGATGGCAATCAATCTTGCTTCCCCTCCACAAAACCAGATGATCTTTCCACACCAAACACCAGCCCCAGTCAAATCAAGGAAGCCACTGAGCAACACGAGGAGGTGCCAGAGCACAACTGGCTCTTGCTTGTACCACCACAGGGTTGCCCAGTAGTCCCATTTCTTGTTCTTAGGATCCTGCATTTTCCCCCATCTCTCCCCTAAAACACACACAGAAGGGAACAGAGAGAAAACAAGGACAAACAGCACTCAGGGGCTTCAGGGTGAGCGTACCCGGAGGAAAAAGTTGGCTGGTTATTCCTCAGAGCCCCTCATTTCTATTTGGAGCAACTATTCATTAAAAGAAATCCCTCCTCTTCCAGTGGCCCAAGGGAAGTTAAACTGTTCCTGCAGCTTGGATACATCTTGAAGCTGAGAGCCCAGCTTGCCAGGCTGCTGGTGTGTTTTAAACAAACACAGAAGAAACATTTCTCAATATTTTTCTTTAGTGAGAGCTACAAATTGTTTCTGATCTGCCTGGCTCCCAGGGCCAGGGCTGCCCTCCTGACCTTTCAAGTCATAACAGGAAATGTCTCTCTGCAAAGCCCAAGCCTTCCCAGACAGGCAGCTTCCTTCAGTCACTCCTCTGTGCACGGTCCCACTATCACAAAAGTCACCACAGGCTCCTGAGGCAGCTCCACAATTTAGTGACACCAGGCTCTCCTCTAAAAAGAGGAGATCCTCAGTGAAATACTCCATCTCAGCTCAAGCGGACTGGCCAGAGGCTGTAGAAGACCCAGATTTTGTTCACAAACCAGGCCATGCTGCACAATATGCAGGGATAAAAGAGCAGCACATTTCCAAACAAAAATAAAATAACAGCCAACCCGTGATGACTCCTCTACAACGCTGAGAGTGGCCTCCCAGGGCAGCCCCACTTACCTGATCAAGCTGATCCTTTCTGCCAAGATTTCCGTGTCCTCTTTGGTGGGAGCGACGTTCTCTACAAAGGCAATCCCGTAGAGCAGGAAGTTCTGCAGGAACTCCTTCAGCCCCTCGTCTGTCTCCAGGAAGCTCCGGCAGTCCACAGAGGGCACCTGGGCCTGCCGGTAGATGTCTGCGTTCCAGAGGATCCGGGGGTGCATGACCTGCTGCTTCTGCCCCTCGTAGCTGTTCTTCACCAGCCACTCCAGCCCGTAGCGCGTCACGTGCCCGTCCGGCCCTTCGGTGGGGGAGAGGGGTCACAGTCACCGCAATCCCACCGAGCAGCCCCACATCCTGGTCACTGCTCAGCCTGGGACAGCCCTCACCCTTTTAATTTTGCCTGGTGACAGGCTCTTTGCACCCTGATGCCACCCAAAATATTATCGGGTTAAGGCCACAAGTTCCCCCTGCTGCAACAACTCCTAATTCAGAGCTCAGTGTCTCTCCTTCAGTGGTTTTGTGTTCTAGTGACAGGACTCCAAGGAGAAGTAAAGCACCAAAATCAAGGCCATAAATAAAGCTAAGCTACAACAAAAGGTAGGAAGCAGCTGGTCTCCAACATCTCCATGTCCTTCTGAAGTTAGTGGCCCCAGAGCTGGAGGCAGCACTGGGGGTGTCCCCCCAGAGCAGAGGGGCAGAATCCCCCCCTCACCCTGCTGGCCATGCTGCAGGGGATGCAGCCCAGGGTGTGGGGGCTTTCTGGGCTATGAGTGCACATGTTGAGCTTCTCATCCACCAACACCCAAGTCCTTCTCTCCATGAAGCTGTGCTGCCAGAAACAGCATCACTGTGAATGGCTCTGTGTCTGTGAAGCAGCAGAAGCCCTTACCCACAGGGCTCCTGGAAGTAGGTGGTGTCTGTGTGACGATCCAGAGCCAGCTTGGTGTAGGCTGTGTCTCCCCGGGAGAAATCGGAGGTGAAGTACCACATTCTGCCATAAATGGTCTCCCTGCAAGAGAGGAGAGCAATCACCATGGAGCACTGTGGGGGTCAGCAGGGTGGTAAAACAGATCCACTCTATATACTGAGTAAATTAATAAAGCAGAACAACTTAACAAAATTCACATTGTCCAGAGATGGGGCTTCTAATGCTTCCTGTAGTACTCTGTTCCTCTCTTTCCTCCCCAAAAGACTGATGGCAATCAATCTTGCTTCCCCTCCACAAAACCAGATGATCTTTCCACACCAAACACCAGCCCCAGTCAAATCAAGGAAGCCACTGAGCAACACGAGGAGGTGCCAGAGCACAACTGGCTCTTGCTTGTACCACCACAGGGTTGCCCAGTAGTCCCATTTCTTGTTCTTAGGATCCTGCATTTTCCCCCATCTCTCCCCTAAAACACACACAGAAGGGAACAGAGAGAAAACAAGGACAAACAGCACTCAGGGGCTTCAGGGTGAGCGTACCCGGAGGAAAAAGTTGGCTGGTTATTCCTCAGAGCCCCTCATTTCTATTTGGAGCAACTATTCATTAAAAGAAATCCCTCCTCTTCCAGTGGCCCAAGGGAAGTTAAACTGTTCCTGCAGCTTGGATACATCTTGAAGCTGAGAGCCCAGCTTGCCAGGCTGCTGGTGTGTTTTAAACAAACACAGAAGAAACATTTCTCAATATTTTTCTTTAGTGAGAGCTACAAATTGTTTCTGATCTGCCTGGCTCCCAGGGCCAGGGCTGCCCTCCTGACCTTTCAAGTCATAACAGGAAATGTCTCTCTGCAAAGCCCAAGCCTTCCCAGACAGGCAGCTTCCTTCAGTCACTCCTCTGTGCACGGTCCCACTATCACAAAAGTCACCACAGGCTCCTGAGGCAGCTCCACAATTTAGTGACACCAGGCTCTCCTCTAAAAAGAGGAGATCCTCAGTGAAATACTCCATCTCAGCTCAAGCGGACTGGCCAGAGGCTGTAGAAGACCCAGATTTTGTTCACAAACCAGGCCATGCTGCACAATATGCAGGGATAAAAGAGCAGCACATTTCCAAACAAAAATAAAATAACAGCCAACCCGTGATGACTCCTCTACAACGCTGAGAGTGGCCTCCCAGGGCAGCCCCACTTACCTGATCAAGCTGATCCTTTCTGCCAAGATTTCCGTGTCCTCTTTGGTGGGAGCGACGTTCTCTACAAAGGCAATCCCGTAGAGCAGGAAGTTCTGCAGGAACTCCTTCAGCCCCTCGTCTGTCTCCAGGAAGCTCCGGCAGTCCACAGAGGGCACCTGGGCCTGCCGGTAGATGTCTGCGTTCCAGAGGATCCGGGGGTGCATGACCTGCTGCTTCTGCCCCTCGTAGCTGTTCTTCACCAGCCACTCCAGCCCGTAGCGCGTCACGTGCCCGTCCGGCCCTTCGGTGGGGGAGAGGGGTCACAGTCACCGCAATCCCACCGAGCAGCCCCACATCCTGGTCACTGCTCAGCCTGGGACAGCCCTCACCCTTTTAATTTTGCCTGGTGACAGGCTCTTTGCACCCTGATGCCACCCAAAATATTATCGGGTTAAGGCCACAAGTTCCCCCTGCTGCAACAACTCCTAATTCAGAGCTCAGTGTCTCTCCTTCAGTGGTTTTTTGTTCTAGTGACAGGACTCCAAGGAGAAGTAAAGCACCAAAATCAAGGCCATAAATAAAGCTAAGCTACAACAAAAGGTAGGAAGCAGCTGGGAAGCTGAGGAGAAAGGACAGAAGAGGGGAATTCAGATCAGGGACAGCAGCTCAAATAGGACAGGGTCAGGAAAACAACAGTTTCCTGACCAATCCATTCACCACCCACATTGCTGTGGTGTTCAAACCAACCACTGAAACACCCAGACCCTGAAGATACACATCTCTACCCAAAAAAGGCTGGGGGGAGGAAAAACAGACAAAAATTCAAGACTGAGGCATGTTCACAGTAACAGCACTGCTCAGAGGAGCAGTGTTTGAGCTCTGCTTACAGCTCTCTCTGCCCAAACCAGCTGCTGATTTAGGGACAAGGCTGCCCTCTCCCAGAGCAGGATCCAGCTGGGAGGCTCCCTCCCAGCCGGTGGCCCATAAAACCCGCAGGGTACCGTCACTCTGCCACTTACAGGTGAGGAAGAGTGTGGTCTCGTCCACCCGGACGGCCTTGGGTCTGATGGCCAGGTCCACGCTGGCCGTGTCCAGGCTGCGCTGGTTGGTCTTGGCGTTGTAGCAGGAGGCCGAGCGGCAGTGGTCCCGCAGCCAGACGAAATCGAAGCGCATCAGGGTGTTTGCGTACCTGAGCTCTGCAAAGAGGGAGAAAGGAGGATGCCTCAGGGTGAACAGAAAAAACAAAGCCAGGAGCTGAAGCTGAGAGCCCACAGGTTAGGATCCAAGGATGCCTCAGGGTGAACAGAGAGAAAAAACAAAGCCAGGAGCTGAAGCTGAGAGCCCACAGGTTAGGATCCCACCCACAGCAGGGAGCAGAGGCTGTTAGACTTGGCAGCTCAGTACATAAATTAAGGTGGCACATGATGAAGACCCAGCAGAGTATCTTCACAGAAGGTCACAGAATCTTCTAGGTTGGAAGGGACCTTAAAGATCATCTTGTCCAACCGTCAACCTAACTGACAAAAATAGACACCCACACAACAAACAAGGAGCATCATCACTAAACCATCCCTCCCAGCACTACATCAACCCATCTTGTGAACCCCTCCAGGGATGGTGCCTCAACCACCTCCCTGGGCAGCCCATTCCAATGCCTGAGAACCCTTTCAGTGAAAAAAATTTTTCCTAATATCCAGCCTGAACCTCCCCTGGTGCAACTTGAGGCCATTTCCTCTCGTCCTGTCGCCTGTGACTTGAGAAAAGAGACCGACCCCCCCTCTCTACACCCTCCTTTCAGGGAGTTGTAGAGAGCAATAAGGTCTCCCCTCAGCCTCCTCAGGTCTGTCTGTCAATGATCTTGCCATGGTCTCCCTTCTAAGAATCATAGAATCACCTGGGTTGGAAGAAACCTTCCAGATCGAGTCTAACAGTCAACTCAACTCTGCCAAGCCCACCACTGACCCAGGTCCCTCAGCACCACGTCTGCCCAGCTTTTAAATACCTCCAGGGGTGGTGACCCCACCACCGTCCCGGGCAGCCTGTTCCAGTGTTTGATACCCCTTTCCATCCAGGCACACAGACAGGCTGCTTCCAAACCTGCTCTAACAACTGCATTTCAGCATCAGTGTTTTAAGGAAAACCTGCACAAGTGGGGGTGGGAGAGCAGGGCACACACGGGACCCGCTGTCCCCGTTGGAGTCAGAGCTCACAGCACCACACAGGAAACAAGGGACTGCCAGGGAAAGGCTCAAATGCAATTATTGTTCAGGAATTGATTTGATTTCTGATTTGGCATTGCCTTGTCTATCAGCAGACAAACCTGCTCTGTCCTGCCTTTGGGAATTCCCAAAGGGAAGACAAAACAGACCCCAGTGTGCATCCCCCTCACACAGGCATTTCAGAAGAAACAAAATAAATCGCTCCTGGAGAACAAGGTCAGGAAAATCTCCCTCCTTTCCCCAAACAGACTCGAAAGCAGGGACACACACCCCCAACGCACCTACCTAGATGGTCACCATGTAACTGCCAGGCACACTTGAGGGACTCTGGGGCCGTGTGGTGGCAGCGAGCTGGAGCAGCGGGGACGGTCCTTCTGTCACGGGGCAGCCACGGCAAGCCAGGTCTTGTGCTTCCCCTGGGGTGGGACGGTGCCCTGAAGAGCCACCCCAGCCTCCTGCACCACATCCTGAGGGGAGAGAGAGGGGGGAAAGAACAAGGTGACTCTGCTGTGCTACTGCACTGCAGCCCTGGCTGGGTCTCTGTGCTCTTACACCAGCACTGTAGGTGCTGCTGGGAAAGGGGGTATTATCCCACGTGATTTACAGTCTACGGACAAAGAGGCAAGTGAGAACTAGCCCATTGAGAAGGAAGAAAAGTGGGTATGACGACTGGCAGCCTGGCCGGAGGAGCAGGTCACCTCCCAGGCACTGTCTGGACATGAAAAACAAGCAGAGTTTGGAGAGTCTGGTATTAAACACCCTCGCTGCCAAGTCCGAGCCCCAGCGTCCTCTCTGCACCCTCCCAGCGCGAGGGCAGTGGGGCTGCCAAGCTCTCCCCAGTGCCTCAACCCACGCTTTCTCCTAACAGCACCCAGACCACGCAGCCATCTCCACAAAATGGGGTGCTTTACCCTCATTTTGACCAGCAGCAGATACTTTTGCAGACACCACCAACACCCGGAGGAGGAGGGAGACCGTGAAGTCACATCTGAAAACTGGCTGCCCTCGAAAACCGCGTGTGACGGAAGCAACAGGGAATTAACCATCAGGGGTCGATGAATTTTTTTAAACAAGCTAATCCAATCCATGCCCATCAGCTGGAAACACGAGGAGGAGACAAGGGTTTCTTGTTTATTTTGTGGCCACCATAAACCACAGCAGAAAAGAGTCCCGAGGAGAAACAAGTGAGATCCCAGGATTTATCAGGCAAAGCAATTCCAGCAGAGGCAGCCTCTTGTGGAAAATACTGGCAGAGCCTCATCTGCTGCGGGTCGTGTCCCCTCTCCTGCCTTCCTGGTTGGAATTCACCATTCCTGGACAGAACTAGAGGGATCAGAGAAGCAGGAAAAAGTGACCTTGGGTAGAAAAGTAGGAATTAGAGGAATCAGTAATTAGGTCACTTCTAGAAAAAGTATGCAAAACAACGAGGAGAGCGAAAAATCTCTATTTCCTCTGAAGGACACAGCTGGCGCAGAAGAGAAACTCGCCTTGGCTAACCTTGGGCTGGAGATTAGAAGGCACTGTCTCTGAGGAAGAGCTTCAATATAAAGAGCAAGGGCAAAACCTTACAGGTTTTAAGACACGAAGCCACAGTCCAAACGCCCTGTTTGTGGTCATTAAGTCCTGGAGGTGAGGGCTACACCCAGCAGGATTTAACAGGGCTTTGGTCTGAAGCACACAGGAACGCGGTGTCACCGGCTGAGACACAGACTGGGAAAGCATTTCTGATCCTCCACTTCTGATTTTCCTTCATTTTCTCAACTGAAGAGTAGAGGCACTGGTGCTTTGCCTGGCCAGCCTGCTTCTCCACAGCTGACTCGGTGCAGAGATCTCAAAAACCGGTACCAACAATAAAAATCAAGAGAGGGGCCATATTCCCAGGCTACAACTTGCTTAATAGGAAAAAAAAAATAAAATACAGTCAGCTCTAAGGGAAAAAAAAAATAAAATAGGGGGAAGCATTTACCTAAAGAGAAAGTGGTTTGTGATTAAAATACAGACTTTTCAGCTGTTGAGTTTTGCAGGGTTCTTGGCCAGGGCTGTGCACAGGTCACTTTCCTCCCTGCCCAGTGCCCAGAGTGACAGAAATCTCTGAACACCACTGCCCCTGCGCTTCCAACGCCACTGTGAAACTCGTTATAGGTGCTGACTCAGCTGCACTGTCCCAAAAGACTCCACTCCAGAGAAATGGGGGCACCAGATAACGTGCACAGCCTGAGCTGGAGTCACCGGGCAGCTGAAGAGACACAAGAACACTCGCTTTTCCCCTTTGGTGCTCTCCAGAACATCAGGTTTTGTCACAATGCCAAGGTTGAGTTCCAGGAGAATGCTTTCCAACCCACCCCAGCTTTGAAAATTTAGTTTAGGAAAAAGAATTAGCCAATGTTGACATGCAAACTTAGTAACTCAGCAAAGAAAATACGCAGCTACACAAACCCAGGAGCTGACCATGACGTTTACAGGCATTACAAAGCTTGAAGAAA